AAATACGAGAGAGAAAGAGAATATAAAACAATGCTACTAGTGTGGCCCAATCATAGTGCATGGAACTCAGTTCAAATTATTCTATGAGATTAATCGTCTGATTTACTCTCCTCCCGGATCTTTTGATCCCCTTGCTTCCTATTTAGGATTGTGTTTCGTGTTTTTACTAAAGACTGCTTCATCCATGTACTCCTAACTTTTGCCATTTCCTACGCCAATAAACTGTGCGCATTAACCCTCTACCATGTGTGGTTTTTGGACCTTGTATTGGGGGAACATTAGTAACAAAAGGATAATATGCAATGAATGAGCAAACCCATAAAATTAATTAAGCTAAGCTTTGTTTTGCATAAATCTATAATCGTAGGCCACCCAGTAAGGATCAAATTGACTATTCTGGAAATTGAAAACTTATTGAAAAGACAAGTTGCCATTTCTGAATGGATGGGCTTCTCGTTGTACTGTTTTTCTTTATATCTTAATTTACACAGTGAGTATTGTACTTACGCATTTTGTTGAACGAAATAACGATGTATGATGGTTACTTCAAACAGTAGACGTACGTATATTTGTAGCACTTTCTTTGGGAACTATTCTCGGCTAAAAGGTTAAAAGGTTGATACATAAAAAGCTAAGGGACAATAATTCCAGTCTTTCTAAAATTCTTCAGAATTGAATTAAAAGGAAAAAAAATAGAATATTACGAAGATGACGAAAAGAAAAAAAAAATAAGAAGACCCTTTTCAAAGGAGAAATATAGATTTAAAAACTGAATGAATAGGACGGCTTCAATTTTTTTTTTATATTTCTTTCATTAAATTCTTTCATGCACCAATGAATTTCTTTCTTTTCTTCCTTTCTCAACTTCTCTCGCTATTTCATTTTTTATCAATTTTTTTTTCTTTAAATTTTCTCTTTCTCTCTCCCACCCACAGTTTTTCCCTCTGTCTTTTAAAAAATGTTTTTTAATAAATTCTCATCATTCACTTATAATCGTGGTCGATTTGCAACGAACATTCCCTATGCTTCATCAATTTCCTCGATGGCTTTTTCTCATCAAATATTCAAGAGGCGATTTTGACGATCTACTCTTCTTTCAGTTCGAAGCCACCCACCTCCTCACATTTTTGCATTGCGAATCAGTCGTCAAAGCAGTGCCTGTTTCTTTTAGTTCTTGATATTTCGTTTGTTTGAATGTACTTTAGCGTTAACCTTACCGGCTGTCAATGATTTTTTATCGTCCCAAGACCATCTCTTTAGTTGTTTTCTGTTTTTTTTCTTTCCTGTTTTTCAACGTGAATATATTTGCCGCTAGAATTAATGAAAAGTCAGATGACACAAAAATAAAAAAATAAAAAAAAATGGCGGATCGTCGGCTTTAGAAATTACAATAAAAGCTTCTGATTTAGAATACGTCACCCTCCTTCCGTCACCCAAATGTACTTTCCCCTCTTTAGAATGAAATTGTTTTGAGGATGATAGTCAAACTAAAGAATTGGTCAAATTTGTTGAGAAATGAATTAAAAGAAAAAAAAAAATAGAAAATTGAAAAGATGACGAAGATGCTAAATATGAAGAGGGGGAAGAAAAACAACAAAAAAACAAGATGGAAGAAGGAACCTTGAAAAAATTTTAAAAAAAGGGGCACAAGAGAAAGGCAGGTGATTAGAGAAGGAGTTGAAAGGTCAAATGCACTTAAGAATAGTCGGAAGGAAAATAAACGTAAACAGGGGGCAGATGAAAAGTAGGAATCTAGATAGAAATTGTCTTAAGCTGGAATATTTACATCTGAATTTTGTAGTAGCCCTAGCTGGAGGTCAAGTGTCAGCAAGTCCTCTATATTCTACAGTATTTTACTGAATTCTACTTAAGCTGTTAACTGCATGTTTTCAGTTCTTCACCAAAATTCCAATTCGAGAACGCTTTCTGTTTTTTTTTTCTGAAGCTTCGAAAAACTTCCATGGGCCCCCAAAAATGGATACACCCGTCATCTTGGTAGTGTACAATTTTATGAGATTATTCCGATCATTATGAATACATCAGTTATAGGATAGGTCTTAATTTTATGAGATTATTCCGATCATTATGAATACATCAGTTATAGAATAGTTCTCAATTTTATGAGATTATTCCGATCATTATGAATACATCAGTTATAGGATAGTTCTCCATTTTATGAGTCTTCTTCAAGATTCGTATTCCAATTTCTTTGAAAATGAGAAACCCACTGTCTGATAAATTCTATTTTCTCTTCAGTTGCGATGTCTAAATCTAGCCTCCAGAACAATAGAATTGTAATCCTATACTCCATAGAGGGGGTCTGTAGGGTTCACAATAACAATTTCTAGATTGAAAGCCGCAATGCTGTCACGTTCTCAGTCAGATATTTTTTTTTTCAAAATCTGATGAAAGGTCGGTCTATTTTGGAAGAGTTGCTTTGCCGGGCCCAGAACTTTTCAGCACCTTCTCATATAACTACTGACGCATCGCTCTGAAAATAATGCCTTCGGTTTACATTGGCTGACGCTTGCAGAATCGGATGTAGGTAGCACAGCGATAAAGTTTGAAGCTTTACACAAATAAGCCATTTTTAATTGCCTTATACCAGTTAGCACTGTCAATATAGCGTTCGTCGTTAAAGTGCGTGCGAAGCGGGCGTGTGTTACTGAATTCCTCTGCGCTTAAAAAAATAAAGCCATTGATGAATTTTACAGAGTTGACTGACTTATTTTACGGCTTATCAACCCTTTGTCAATTACTTAAAGCCGAAATATATTTAGGATTGATGGAGGTCGGTTCCAGTTCCCAGTGATCTCAAGGATTTCCACCATTTAAGATCTGTCTGGGTTCAAACTCTCATTAACTTCGATTACCGAATGGAAACCTGTATTTTCAGAGTGATTTAAATGATAATACTTAGGACAAGAACAACACATATAAGATTTACCAGTGACGCGTACAAGAAATAGTCAACAGCTAGAAGTGAGTCAAATGAATCTCCAACTGCAAGATATCGACCAAACGCGGTCAGATGTGAAACAAGGCCTAATTTAATATGGGGTATCCGAGTGCATAGGCTCGGCCAAAAATTCCCCGTAGACCTCATATAAAATGGGGTCGGGTAGCTGTTTCCCGAGATGAGACTCTGCCCTTCAACATAGCTTCGTCTGGGGATCCTCTCTGTCCGGAGGGAGAGAGTTTGACCAGTACAGCTGGAGACGGATCTCCAACTGCATGATATCTATCAACAGCCCCACGCGGTCTGATGTGGCGCAATTTAATGTGGAGTATCCGAGCCTGTAGGCTCGGTCAAAAATTCCCCGCAGACTTCGTTTAATACGGTGTCGGGTAGATGTTTCACGAGACGAGACTCTGACTTGTCTGGGGATCCTCTCACACAGAGAGAGAGAGAGAGAGAGAGAGAGACCAGTTCAGCCGGAGATGACATACAGTATTTACTGCTGTACTTATGTGAATGGGGACATACCCATTATCATTCGCAGGTAAACTACAACCGTGAACAGCTGTCAACAAATGAAAGGGAGAAGACTTCATAATGCAAACTCCATCGTATTGACAATATGTCAAAACAGTTTATTGTAGTTTGAAACTTAACTTTATCCAAAGACAGTACTGTGGACCCCGTATTATTATTGTAGTTTCCATGAGAAGAAAATAGAAGCTTTACTTTCATAGCGTAACATATATAATTCTCCGTGTATGTCCGTTCGCCACGCTGTCTAGCTATTCCCTGTTGCAGGCGCCTGTTCAAGCAAAATTGTTTCTTTTCAATACTCAGAAAGCCATCCTGTAGTTATACTGCAAATGTACTGAGAAAGGCTTCCTCACAGATCCTTAGAGAAAAGCGGATAATTTGGCTTAATTTGTAAGCCTGTACACTAACCCCTTGGTCATTATGATTGTGGCTTCTTTCTAGCAGAGCTATCGACGGCCTCTGAATATTTCATATATCATATTATATTACCAACGTTTGGGCACTTCGAGGTGCTGTAATGGTTACCAAGCATGTTTCACTAGAGTCATTAAGGCTTAGTAGTGAGTTGGATCCTCAATGAGTGCTCTACACTTTCGGCCTAGTGCCACATTTGTTACGCTTGGAAAATCCCTATATTCACATCGTTTACAGTAAAGCCTTGGAATGATTTTCCGGTATGTCCCCAATGGTACCATACGCTGAAACGTCTCTCCAGTTTCGATCTTATCAAAAAGTCACCTAATTTATCAAGATGAGATTCAGACCTCGACCCTTACGGTCTGTACGTTAATGTTCTAACCACGGGACCTCGTGCTATATAGAGAAAATCTTTGATTGAAACTTGTTAGCCTGTGAAGTTCATCGCGGAGAAAGAACACTAATTTCAAAGTTCCACTTGCTTGCGGGCATGCCCAATCTGGGGAAAATCTTCGAGAGTAGACCATGATGATAAAGGGCAGTCCAGTGTTCATTTTCTCAACTCCTGGTCATATTTGCTTCTGCACTTTCTTCTGGACTAAATCGGTGGCGTGGAGAGAGAAAAGGCGCGGCATGAGCAACTGCTGATCTCCTACGTAAGAAAAAAAAAAACATTCATTATTTTTTTTATGAATGATCATGGATCTCTACAGATTCCATTTCTTCATAATCTGTGAATGGTTCTGATTTTGCTTGGGAAATGTAGTGGAGTAGTTATGCGTTACCTTCTTTAAGTTATATTAATTGAAAAAAAAATGAGTAAATAGTAAAGGATCATTGCTATTTTATTACATAGAAAATGCATTCGTGCAGTGGATCCACGCATATGAAAAGGGGAAAAAACAGTTGGCTAAGTAGAAATGAATTGAAAACGAGGCTCATCAATTAAATAATAAAATAGACTGACAGCTTCGAAAGAGAAATTACTCAAACAGTTTATGTAAAACTGAAGATTTAAAAAGAAAGATTAGGTTAAAGAAAGATAAGATCTCAATGAATGAGAAATATGGGAAGCCAAAAACAACCTTTAAAGAGAATATATTTGAATGAAAATTAATGAAAAAATGGCAATTTTTGAGCCTCTTCCTCGTCGGTAAAAGCTGTCGATATAGATATACTGGGATAAAGTGATTGTTTCAGACAGCCAGACAGAGAGAGAGAGAAAGAGATAGGAGGGAGGGGTGATGGAGAGGTATTGAAGGAGATATGTGGAGAGAGAAGAGAGTATGGAGATAGTAGCTGGATTGAAAAGAATAGAAAACTGAAAAAGAAAATAGAGAAGCAGAAAGAATTCGAAATTAAGAAGAGTGAAACGTTAAGAAAGAAAGAGGGATATAAAGAAAGAAAGAAAGATTGAAACGTAAAAGAAAGAAAAAAACAAGTGGTAAAGAAAGAAAAACAAAAGTGACATAAGAAAGAAAGAAAAGAGAGAGAGGAAAATACAAACGATATGCGAAAGAAAGAAAGAAAGAAAGAAAGAAAGAAAGAAAGAAAGAAAGAAAGAAAAAGAAATAAAGAACTAAAGGAAAAGGGAGAAAATAAAAAGAAAAAGTAGGGACAAATGATAAGTAACAAACAAAGAAATAAAGAAAATATTGTGAGAAAGAAAGAACAAGGCATACATAATAGAGACAAAAGAAAGAAAGAAAGAAAGAAAGAAAGAAAGGAAGAAAGAAAAAAAAAACAAGGCATACATAATAGAGACAAAAGAAAGAAAAAGAAAGAAAGAACAAGGCATACATAATAGAGACAAAAGAAAGAAAGGAAGAAAGAAAGGAAGAAAGAAAGATCAAGGCTTACATAATAGAGAAAAAAGAAAGAAAGATATAAAGAAAGAAAGAAAGAAAGAACAATGCATACATAATAGAGACAAAAGAAATAAAGAAAGAAAGAAAGAAAGAACAAGGCATACATAATAGAGACAAAGAAAGAAAGATCAAGGCTTACATAATAGAGAAAAAAGAAAGAAAGATAGAAAGAAAGAAAGAAAGAAAGAACAATGCATACATAATAGAGACAAAAGAAATAAAGATAGAAAGAAAGAAAGAACAAGGCATACATAATAGAGACAAAGAAAGAAAGATCAAGGCTTACATAATAGAGAAAAAAGATAGAAAGAAAGAAAGAAAGAACAATGCATACATAATAGAGACAAAAGAAATAAAGATAGAAAGGAAGGAAGAAAGAAAGAAAGAAAGAAAGAAAGAAAGAAAGAAAGAAAGAAAAAAAAAGTCATACATAATAGAGACAAAGAAAGAAAGAAAGGAAGAAAAAAAGAGCAAGAAATACATAATAGAGACAAAAGAAAAATAAAGAAAAAAAGGATAGAAGAAAGAAAGAAAGAAAAGAGGAAACAATATGGAGAGGAAAAGAAAGAAAGAAAAGAAAGAGAATGTCATAAAAAGAAAAGTAAAATAAAAACAGAAAAAGAAGCGCGATAATAGCGGGAAAGAAGGAAAAGAAACATGAAACAAAAGTAATATAGGCAAAGATAGAAAATAAAACAGAAAACATTGTCAGAAAAATAAGAATGGAAGAAAAAAGAAATAAAAAAGAAAGAAATGAAGAAAAATAAAGGAATAAAAATTAACGAAAATGAAATGAAAGAGTAAGCAAATACAATCATAAGAAGAAGGAGTAGGTATGAAAGAGAGAGGGAAAACGAGAGAGAGAGATTTGAATGGAGCGAAAATACCTGATCAAAATTTTATGAAATAAAACCAGGCAATCTTTCAGTGAAGCCAGAAGTGAAAGATGTTAAAAACAAATAAACAACAATGCAAAACAACACTTAACGAGAGAAACCCGAAAAGAAATAAGACGTTGAAGAATATTAATAAGTTTTAGAAATGTGTAAAGGACAATTGAAAGCAAGAAGAGATTTTGTATCTTGAGGAAGAAATTCGGCGCCATATTTGGACGCAGAATCAAGAGCGAAAAAAAAACCTAACTAAATCAAACGGAACGAATGCCAAGCGAAAGGACAGAATAGAAAGTAGGCTAGTATTTTATCAAATTTAGTTACAATCCGATGGCTTCATGACTCTGTGTTTGGCTTGGTTGAACTTTTGCTAGACTGCCTCAGTTAAACTACCATAAAGTGTCAGAATTTGTAATAGGCTTTGCCTTAAAGAGTAAGGTAAACCTTTGCTAATAAGTCCTTGCTATGCTTATCTACTGCCTGTTCATATCTATCTATCTATCTATCTATCTATCTATCTATCTATCTATCTATCTATCTATCTATTACCTGTTTCTATCTATCTATCTATCTATCTATCTATCTATCTATCTATCTATAACCTGTTTATATCTATCTATCTATCTATCTATTACCTGTTTATATCTATCTATCTATCTATCTATCTATCTATCTAAACCAATTTGGATATATAAGACAAATATTACCTTATAATAGGAAAGTATTATATAGTAATCACGTTAAGGAAGGACTCAATGTTCTAGAAAGCCTTATTATACAATAGAAACAAACACCATGAATAAAATATATTTCACCACTGGAGAAGATCTAAAGTGTATATAAAATATTTAATAAGCGTACAAGATTATTATTAATAATAATAATAATAATAATAATAATAATATTAATACGACGTATAAATATATGATACATAGTTTACGGTCGAACTCTATTCAACTGTTGCAAGCAACATAATTTTGAATTAACTCCTATTCAAGTGCTCAAACATTCCAGTTTATGGCCAACAAAATGTTGCCTACTACAAAGAAGTGTGTATCCCGAATTTTCACCCCGATATACAACATAACTTTCAAAATTTGTAAAAAGAAATACAATAAAAATACCTTGTTGGTTGAATTAAACAACACTTATTTATGGATAAAAGTGTTCGATATCAGTGATCCAGCGTTTGTAAATATAAAAGTCGACACTGAGGTCAAAACAGGGTGTCGACCGTCTGTTTCATGTTTGTACACAACCTTTAGGCCTGAAGATTGAAACAGACTATCGTCAATGGTATATTTAATCTACTATTTTATTAATTTGACCTACGAACACGGCGGTATATGTTGTTTGCTTTGAATTTTTGCTTTGTCACAGTTATCTGCCAAAATATTATGGTCTATATTTGTCTTCGTACATATGTGTGTGTATGTGTGTGCACAATATAATTTCATGCACACAAAGGCAGAGAGCTATTAGTTCAAGTAGGTACATATATAGAGAAGAATTGGAAATTTGCAACATAAAAAATAAGCCTTGTATTCAATAAAAATAACCCTTTTCGAAATATTCATTCGCTAATTATAGAGGATATGTCAAAAACATATTCATTGTTTCCAGGCCAACAGGAATTAGATACACGATATTTTTTAAGATCTTGGCATCTGTCAAAAGCACGTTAGTCACTTCAGGATCCTTTCGCCTTTACCAATAACAGATTCTAGCTAAAGTGTGGAATTCACAGGCCACAAGGTATCTAAGGAAAATCATCTCGGTTTTGAGTAGTTATTGATTCTGGGAATATGGACGGAATTAAAGGTACACGTATTTATATCCGATTTTCTTTTAATCCGACCGAGGTTTGATCAAATTTTTTTTATTATTCCTGTTTTATGAGACCATGTTAAAGATAAAAATATATATATATATATATATTCAAGCACGGTCTGCTATCGTATGACATTTTAGTCCAATTAGAATTTGGCCAAAATATTTTATCTATATTAACTAATTGGTTGGGTTTCTGTCAGCATCTGTTACTGGTATAAATTTCATCACACGGCATTTTCTTTTAATCACTGATGTGTAATCAAAGATTTCAGTAACTTTTAATAAATAGTATAAATTCCTAACATAGCGTCAACTGTAATAATTGGGATAGCACTGCTCGACTAAAGCCTTCCTCGCCTCTTTTCATAACGACGGTATATCCTGAGTATGATAATAAACTACATCCGCGTCCTGGGTATGATGATAAACTACATCCGGCAGCAAGGCCTCTGATCAGATGATTTTGAGGAGCGTTGAACCACCTCTTAATTGCTGTTATTCCCAGGTCCACCTTGACCCAGGGTGGTAGCACCTGTTAGAGTTCCAGCTATGGGTAAACAGCTAACGGAGCTCAAAATTATATGTAAAAATAGGTCTTAATATCAGCAATATATTTTTGGGAAAATTATTACCTGCAACAAAAATACCAGCAACAAATTTTTGAAAACAAAAACATTTTTGCAAAAAAAAAAAAAAAAAAATAAATAAATAAAAAAAATTAACAGCAATAAAAATCTTGTCGGCATGAAATAAGAGTTTGAGGTTGATATACCGTAAAATGAAGCGATCCAAGCCAAATCCTAATGGCAGTGACGGCACACAGCTCTTCTATAAATAGAGCACTCTGAAACACTGGCGTTCATTTAAAATAATGTAAAAATTCGCCTTCTACTACACCAGTTTGGGAGTTAACTATTTGCCCATAGCTGGGACCCTAACAGGTGCTGCCACCCCGGGTCAGTGTGGATTTGGGAACACCAGCAATTAAGAGGTTGTTCCACGCTCCTCAAAAGCTCCTAATCAGAGGCCTTGCTGCCAGATGTAGTCCATCGTCATATCCAAGATGTGGATGTAGTTTATCGTCATACCCAGGATATATATATATATATATATATATATATATATATATATATATATATATATATCCACAAATAGTCTTAAATGCCTATAATTTATAACAGAAGCCATACTTCGGCTTCTCATACTTAATACTTCTCGTTTTCACTCTTATGTGTGACGTCACGAGCTGCGACGCGAATTTCACTTCCGCGTCTCGTATACACGGACTTGTTGTTGCTTTGAAATTTTTCATGCAGCAAGGGCGGACTATCATTGTTGTTTTGTCTATGTGTTGTTTGATATATTGAAATTATCATCTTTGATAATGGCTTATGTAAGCCGAAATCTTGGATTTAAACATGTATCAATATGGTGATTTCCTTTCGTCTTTCAATGATAATGTCATTAAGCTTATCAGACAATATGAAAGGAACTTACTTAAAATAAATAGACAAAACTTGTCTATATTATTTAATGAAACATGCATATATATATATATATATATATATATATAGAGAGAGAGAGAGAGAGAGAGAGATATCTGATCGAGACAGACAGACAGACAATCAGACAGACAGACAGAAAGAGGTGAATGTGTATTTAAGCAGCAAATTTTCTTTAAACAAGCTTTTATGAAGGTAATAAATTATAACTCATCTAACGTATTTTTAGGATCACTAACTGTTAAATACCCAGGGGGATTATAAATTCATTATCCTTTTTGTATTGTTTATAATTACGACCCATCTGGTTAATGGTTTCGTTATTTCAGCTTATGGTTAGCGTTAGGGGTTAGTAACCCTGACCCTAACCCTAGGTTAGGGTTAGGTTTGGGGTTAGGGGTTAGTAACCCTGACCCCCTAACCCCAACCCTAACCTTAATTACTGTTTATTTTATTTTTAATTTTAAAAATATGTTTTATTGTATTATTTAATTAGTTCTTTTAATTTGTCATTGCTATTCTACACAGAAAAAATGTTTTATTGTATTTATTTAATTTGTTTTCGTTTAAAGTTTCATGTTATAAATTATACTACACTTATCAAAAAAATAAATTCTTTACAAGAGTGTGTAGTGATTTTGGCGTTAAATTCCGTTAAAGAAGTAAATAGGCCAAAATTTATGCTTACGCCAACGGAAGTGCCCCGCAGTGAATTATAACAGTAATGGCAGACGAATGATCGACAAGAAGCCCGATTTTTTCGTGTCGATAACTCCAAAAAGGTCGTTTTTTATTTTATTTTTTTTAATTCTTAATTCGAGTCCAGCATGTACATTTACACGGAATTAAGACAATTTGTGAAAATTTTAATAGATATTTAGCGCGGGGCTTAAAAAGCAAATTTACCCAAAATATATCCGAAGAGGAAATCATTTTTGCCTGGTGTTTTCATAACATCGATTTCATATCTGTAAGTCAATTCGCTTTTATAATTAAGAATACATGGATTTTACTCGGGTTTTTTTTTTACATATGTTAAAGTGATAAAATCATCATTATTAGCATCTATGAGACCGGAACGTCCAGGGAAAATAGATATTATAAAAAAAACATATTTAACCTTACGAAAATGATTGTTTTATAGAGAATTTGAACTTGGGATAACCAGGAATGAAAATTCAATTAAATTAAGATGCATCCTCATCATAAAGAAGATGAAAGTCTATTAAAAATATAATTTGTTTACATTATTTACATTATTCGGACTGTTATCCTCATCTTCATTGCCATATTCACAACGTTTCGGCCGTTGTGCGTTTCGGCCTTCTTCAGTTGATTGGAATTTCGAACCGAACCTATTATT